CCATGATTGATTCAATCACTTCTTTCTCTGTACTCTTTTCTGTAAAAGATGACATTAAAACCACCAGCTTAGGTGAAGGCATCACACAAAGATTTGTTGTTACCCTGATCATCAAACTCACCCACTGATATTTCACTCTTGAAAGACAGTAACAGAGAAAAACACAGGTGGATTTTGCCAACTCTTCCAAACCTCTCCACCTGCCTAGCAAATCCCTCCCTCTCCAAAAACCAGGGCTTTGCATCCAGGGGAAGTGAAGGTGAGCCACACTCACCTTCCACATTGTTATAGAAATGACAAGCACGAGCCATCACTTTCATTCTGCACATGTAGATCTGTAAAACAAAGCCTATTTCAGCCCAGAGTAGCACAGCTTGTCAGGTACTGAAAGCATGTTAAGGAGTGAATCAGTTCTAACCCCAGCTAATGAATAAATGCTAATCAAAGTTCTTCAGCTTTAAAACCACATGTCCTGCTCACCTTCCAAGTTAGGCTCTTTTTTTTGCAGCACAGAATACTCACATGCTCAGAGAAAAATGTGTTATATTTTACCATTAATACTTTTCAAAACAGTAATCTTTGATATTGTAAAAATAACAGCTAAATCAATAACTGAAGCAATGTTTTGAAATTATTATTGCTCTTGACAAACTCATAAATAGCAGATCAGAAACTACAAATTATTAACTGTCATGTTCTACACAGTGACATCTTTCTTTGAATAGAAAATGTCACCAGAGACTCAGAATTACATCTTGCACTCACAAAACTGGAAACTAAACATTCCTAAAAACATATTTACGACTACTGTGTTTCCCTGCAGCCTCTTGTAGCTAAACAATGTCAGGGTGAAGAATGGCACAGAAATGACACAAAAGCCTCCATGTTCTCCCTGAACATCCTCTCCAGGCTCTGATCTCACCTGCATGTGGTTGCTCTCCTGTCGCTTCACTTCAGGGTTGATGCAGAGCTGCTCCCTGGACCCCAGCACACAAACCTTTGGCCTGGATACACAAAACTGACATTAAAAATAAGGCAAGAGAGAACAGAGTTGTACAAGCTTAGATTCAATATCTCAAAAGTGAAAGATTCAGGAGAAACAGATGAGCCCAAAGCAAGGGTCAGAGCCAGAACAAGTCAATTTGTCTGTAACTGCTGTGTGTGTTACTGGACTTGGAGGCACTGCATCTCTGCTGGCAGCAGTGGGTGTTAATAAGCAGCAGCAGTTCACAGCAAGAAGTCACAAGCAGCAATTTACACCATCCACCACAAAATCTAGGTTCTGTTATGACAGCTCAGCCCAGGCAGCTGGGGCCTGTCATCCATTACAAGCTTTTCCCAGCTGGTTGTGATGTTCAGAGCAAGGTTAGGACAGAATTGGTTCACTACAAACATTCACCATGGTTTGGGCTTTTTTGCTTATTACAAGGTTGTATCTTTCCAAGAGCTACATAAACAAATGACCATGCCTGTCCAAAGAGCTCAGCCACACACTGGCATGTGAACAGCTGAAAACTGTGACAGGCACTGGTATAACAGAAGTTCTTAATAGATTTACATCAGCTTAAGGAGTTCAACTGGGTAATGGCTTCTCACTGCCTTAAAAAATACATCCAGAAAAATATAAATAGGGGAAATTTAAAATAGTAATTTAATAAGTTAATGTGTCAAGTAAAAAACCAAAACCAGACTAAATTCAGAAAATTCTATGACTGAAGGAGAGAAGCTGTGAAGTATTAAAATAAACCAAGCCCATCAACAAAGAAAATCAGGCTCTAAACATGCACATTAAAGGAACTACATTTCTCTAGATACCATCTTTTATGCATTCATCCACAGAAGTTCACACAATAACTACACCAGAGGGATTTCTCCACCTTTTCTTTGAATAAGGACACTACCCTAAATCATACTCACCTGTACACTGTGTTCTTTAGCTCATTAATGACCTGTGTAAGCTGGGAGTGAGTCCTAGAGGCATAAATTATTTTTGGAATGTCAGTGTAATAAGCTGCCAAATGGAAGACAAAAAAAAAAAAAAAGCAGAAAGACATTATAAGCATAGAAAGGAGAACTAGGGATATTCTTAGCCTCCTTCCCCAGCTGGTACTATGGTAACAGTTTGCCTTGTAGAGACAGCAGGAAATGCTGTCATCTAACAAGCTTCTAAGAAACTAAAAAACTAAATGAGCTCCAAGAAAAATTCAAACTACATAAAACACCTTGAAAATGTATGAAATGGTGAAACTGTGTTCCATCTGCTCAACAACTTCTAAAAGCTCTGTAACTTTTATAATTGTACATTTATTATAAAAGACAGATAAAAGCACATGTTGACTACCATCCCTGAGTGCAGAGGTGGTGGTACTCACTTGGGACATCTCCATCTGTGGCAGCAGTGCCCCAGGAGGACACAGGTCTGTCAGGGAAGAGCTCCACCCCATTCATGCGCTGCGCGATTTTCCGGGCTGAGATGGTGTCCTTGAAGTGCTCCCTCCAGGCCAGGGTGGAACACAGCAGGCACAGGGTCTTCCCTGTGCCTGTGGGGCTCTCCAAAATGCCATTTACCTTCTTTGGTGGAGAGAAATAAGAGAGGGATTTAGGGGTTCAGCAGGACAGGTCTTGGTGCAGCTCTGCATGTCCTCTGCCAAGGAGCAAACACCAGCTGGCAGCCCCACCAAGGAACACCCACCCACGAGGTCTAATCAACCTGTAGGACCCTCTAATTAACTTAATGAAGTTCAATCAAAAACCCAGAGCCAGCCATCACATTTATTTAGCACAGGAATTCAATTCTCCACTCTTAGAGCCATTGGTGTGTGTCGCATTTCAGCATAAAATACAAAATATGAGAAGTTATTGAAAAACCAGCCCAGAAAGTGGCTCCCAGTTAACAGAGTGATGGTTTCCCTTAGGATTAAGGTTTTATTCCATGCCAGTTTAGGCACAGAACTTTGTCAGTACTTGGAACACCTCAACCTACAGGATGTTACAATTTTTAAGTGTGTGGCAATACTAAAAATTGGGAAAAAAAGCAGCAGCTGAGCTCAAGTGTATGAGACAAATTTATATCATGAGCTCACAACACTTTGAGTTCAATGAGAGGAGGCACCAAGCAGGTACTGTGATTCAGAGCTTATGGTGGAAAGCTAAAGTTCCCACAACAAGCTTGTTTGGTCCCTCAGAACAATCTTTTGGTTCCCACAAAGATGTGTCCAGAAAAAAAAGGTAATTACTGTGAAAAAAACCATTTTATTATTTTGACATTCATTCAGTAAAATTCTCCTCTCACACAGCAAATGGAAAATTATACAAATAGTCCAGATATTAACAAGACAAGATAAAATCCCTCCCATGAGGAAAGGCTGAGACAATTGGGATTGTTCAGCCTGGAGAACAGAAGACTCCAAGATGACCTAACAGGGGCTTACAACAAGGGGGCTACAAGAAACATGGAAAGGGACTTTTTACAAGGACCTGTAGTAACAGGACAAGGAAGAATGGATTCCTACTGAGAGAGTGTAGGTTTATATTGGAGAATAGAAAGAAATTGTTCCCTGTGAGAGTGAAGAGGCCCTGGCACAGGGTGCCCAAAGAAGCTGTGGCTGCCCCATCCCTGGAAGTGCCCAAGGCCAGGTTGGATGGGGTTTGGAGCAGCCTGGTCTCATGGAAGGTGTCCCTGCCCATGGAAGGGGGTGGAACAAGGTGAGCTTTAATGTCCCTCCCAGCCCAAACCATTCATGATCCTGTAGTCAGACCCAGCCAGCCAAGGACAGACTGCATAAATACAAGCAGCCTTTCTTCCTTTTCCCAATTTAGGCAGGAACAGCCCATCTATATTTCTACTGGCTGCCACCTGCCAGCAACGATTTTCATTATCACAGAATAAAATAAAAATACAAGTAAAAGGTCAGAGAAGATTTGGAAAGGCAGCATACAAAGCACATAAAGAAAACTTGAATTGTGACAGCCTCTTCTTAGAGAAACCATTTTGTACAGTTAGAAATGACACACAGCTGGACACTCACTCACCTTTTGCAGGCATTCCAGCACCTTGGCCATGTAGGCTTCCTGGCACGGGTAGGGCTGGAAGGGGAAGTCCACTGTGATCCCATTTAGAGTGATCCTGGGCATGGCTCCTTCCCTGAGGTGCCTGCAAGGAAGGGCAGACCATGCTGACCCTGCTGTGGTGGTGACAACGTGCCAAGATAGGGCTGAAAGAGACCTGGAATTCACCTCATTCAATCCCTGCCATGGGCAGAGACACCTTCCACTATCCCAGGCTGCTCCAAGCCCCATCCAACCTGGCCTTGAACACTCCCAGGGATGGGACAGCCACAGCTTCTCTGAGCACCCTGTGCCAGCGCTGTCACCATCCTCAGAGGGAAGAATTTCTTCCCAGTATCACAGCCACCCCTGTCCCCAGTCAGGCTGCAGCGTTCCCCTTGGTCCAGCCACGCCAGGCTCGTGTAAACAGCCTCCCTCCTCCTCTCCTGTCGGTCCCTGCTGCACAGGACGGAGCAATTGGGTCACGGCGCTCAGGGACGGGCCGGTACCAACGGCTCCGCAGGAGGCTCATGGACACTCGGGACACGGTCCCGGTCCCGGACTCCTGGTCCCCACCGCCCGCTCCGGCTCGTGTTCCCGCGGTCCGAGATCCCTATGGTCCAGAGCTCCCATGTCCCCGTGTCCCCTCAGCCCTGCGTTCCCGGCGGTCCCAAGATCCCTGTGCTCCGGAGTTCCCGAGTTCCCGTGCCCCCGTGTTCCCGTACCCCCGTGTCCCGGCGCTCCCTCCCCTCCGCCTGTTCCGTTCGGAATCCCCGCGCCGCTGTCACGTGTCACACACACACGTTCCACACGTCACTTCCTGCGCGCGCTCTCGCGAGAGTGGCGGCGTTGCCCTGGTAACGGGCGGGGAAGGCGGCGGCCGTGGTGGGCCCGGGCCGGGGGATCCCGGTGGAGTCCGGGCCGGGCTGTCGGGGAGCGAGCGGGGTGGGTGGCGGCTCGTGAGGGGCCCCGGGCAGGAGCGGCGCAAGCCCGGTGGGGTTTGAGCGCTGCCAGGTCTGAGGGAAGGCGGTTCCGCTCCCCAGACAGGCCCTATGGTTCAGCCGGACGGTTCCGCGGCCGCTTCCCCCGGGGCGGAGGCCGAGCTTGGGCCCCGGAGAGGCGGAATGTCGGCTGTTCGCTCGCCAAAAGCTGCATTTCCAAGGCCTCCCAGCTCTCTAAGGGTCCCCCGCGGCAGGGCTCCCCGGGAGTGGCGTTTGTCCGCTTTTGAAGGGCTCAGGACGTGCGACAAGCGCTGCCCTTGGGCAGGGTTCGTGTTCCGGGCCCCGCTGTGCTTTGTGCTGAGCTCTGCTGCTCGCTGGAGAGGGCAGAACGCGGCGGGATTCTTTGTGAAACCCTCGGCGTTTGAGGTGGGAGGGTTCTGTGCCTTTATGCTGAGCTCCTGCGATAGGAACGGTAATGAATTCTGACGGGTCTCTTTTGTTAGGGGTGAATGTGCCGCGCCTTTGTTCCCGGCTTCTCTGCAGCACGGTGCTCCCACCCTTCAGTCCCCTGCCAGCGCATCCAGGCGCATCCAGGAACGGCTTTGGCATTCCAGGTGCTCAGGCCGTGTGACTCGTGAACTGCTCTGGATTGATGGATTACCCACTTTTGTAAGAATCTGGTTTTAATAAACGCATAGGCATGGCTTACTTGAATCCCCAAATTTTGTAAAATTGTATTTCATGCAGCTAGATGACAGAGAAGGCAGGAAGAAAGTACTTTGTACTCATCTCTGTGGTTTATTGCTGTGTCTCATGCTGTCACTGCATAGATGTAGAACAGGATGTGGCTTCTTTTATTGTAGCATTAGAATGCTTTACTCCTGGCCAGCTGCACAGCTTGTTTGTGTGCAGAACAGTTCTGATGTTAAAAGGAGCAAACCTTAAACTATGTAAGTTAAGCATTGTGTGGTCTGTTCTGTTCCCAAATTCGTGGTGCCTCCTGTGTCATGGTGTCGGGTCAGGGGAGCTCATGGGTGTTGCTGTTTTGGTGGCCAGCCTTTAAATTCTTGAGCTGAACTGCCCTGGATCATAAACTGTCTTTAATTGCAGGGAATGAGCTGGAGAACACTGAGTTATTCCCGTGGAACTTTATGTTCTCCACACAAAATTTAACTGCTGGTTTTGCTCATGTTTCTGACTGTGAACTCTTTACTGTGATATCAGTCACACATTATGAAGCTGCAAAAGAAATTACTTTGTAAAGATGGTGAAATGAGAGTGTGGGTTAACTTTAGGGAAGAAAAAATAAATTTAAAACTCCTCATAAATACATGGAATACTCTGTTGTTGTTATTTCCTGTAAATGCGTCTTTCCCACACGGAAGAGCAGTACCAATAGTGTAGCAAAGGAGATTATTTTTCCTTATGTCAGTGCTGCTGATAGAAGCAGTGTCACCTGCAGGGAGAGGGGAGCTGGGAGGTGCCCGGCCCGAGGCAGGAGCGGGCTGTGAGTCAGCAGGTGCCCAGCAGCAGCCATGAGTCAGCACCCGCAGCTCCTGGAGCTGCTCCTCTGCACCAGTGACCTCACCTGACCAGGGCTGCAGGCTGCCTCCTCTAAAAACACAACAGAGGAAATGTGCTGTAACCTTAGAAAAATATATATTCCTTGTTGTGGAGGTTTAGTGAAGCTGCAGTATCTGTTGGGATGAAGACATGATAAATAAAGGTGTTGGTCTCACACTGGATTGTCATCTTGGTGTTTTTCTGCCTAGGAAAAACCCTTAGTTCTTACAAAGCCAGAGTTTGGAGAGGGAGGATTTCAAAACTGAGCAGCACAGAGAGTTGTGTGACAGCTCAGCCAGGAGGAACCAGCCCATCTCCACTTCTCACTCATTTCTGGGTTTTAAGATTTGGATAAAATATTTTTCAAGAAAAAGAAAGACCATGTACAAAATAAAAACCTTGTGAAAGATGGTCCTTAACCTCTGTGGGGAAGTGGCTGAACCACACCAGGACCCCAGCAAGGGGAACACTGGTGCTGTGCAGAAGTGCAAAGTGAAAAATGGCCATGTTTGTTCAGAGGCTGCCCAGGCAGGATCTCTCTTTCCAGATGAGATCCAGATGCTGCTAGAGGAGCAAGAATCTACAGGAATGGGACAAAAGAGCCTCAAGGGCCATCTGTGAAAGTCCTGTGGCTGGCATGAAGGTTATTTACCCCTTTTCAGATAGAGGAGGATTGAGTTGCCATTTGTTGTCTTTCTGAGTCTTTTCCCCCCAAATTATTTGATCTCTTTTAATCCTGATAGTCCAGAGCCTTTCAGTCCATTTCATGCTGGGAAATAACAACACATCTTTCCACCTTGACCCTCCAAATCATTTGCTCCCAGTTTCTCACACAGTGCATTCCAGTGAAACGTATTGCCATGGCACCTTTAAATCATTCCACACCCTTTCCTCAATGAAAGGAATAAAATGTGTGCTGGATTGATGCCAAAAGATCCAGAATGTTGTGAGAGGTAGCCAGACCCTCTTGGGACTGCTGGGAATATCAAAGGCAGAGTTCATCCTGAGCAGAAGGGGGAAATCACTCCAGCAGTCAGGTGCCTGGCATGGCTGCCTTCCTCTGGTCATGGCAAAGGTGGTTTTGAAGCACAAGATAACCTGTCAAATCCTGGAGATTCAATGCAAGGAGAAAGCAGAGAGAGCTGGAACTACAAAACAAGGCTTGGACAGAACAGGGAGCAGTTAAAGGTCATTAAAAAAAAAACTTGCAAATAAATTTTGAAAATGTGTGGATAGTGTTAATTTTATTCTGAGTTAGACTTTTTCTCTATTTTTCTTTTCTTCTATGACAGTGTTACAACGCTGGGAGATTGGGGGAAAATTAGGAAAGTAGAAAAATCCTGGTGTTTCTAAATGAATTTACTGTGGCTTCTACCCCTGAGCAAGCCAGAGCACTGGCAGGTATTCCAACAACCTGTGGTTCTCTGCAGCAGCTGGAATTGTTTGGGAGTGTCTGCATTGCAGCGTGCCAGGAGATGTGTGGGTTTGGGAGGATTCCTTGCTCCCAAGTGTGTGTGTGGTGCTCTAAAAGCACAGAAGCATTGGCCCCTGGCAATAGCCAAAAATGGAAATTATAGAAATTACAGAAAACAGACAGAAAATTATAAGAAAAGAGGTCCTGATGCCTAGGGTGGGGGAGAAACCCAGAGAATTCTCACTGAAATCAAAAGGCTCCATTCTGCTCTTTCTCCTCTACTTTTAAGCAGTTTCCACCTCAAACTGCAGCTCCTTTAGAGCCTCAGTACTGGTGCAAAAAAAAAAACAACTAATCCCATGCCTAAAAACCTGCTGGGATCCCTCCTCCCTTTGCTGTTTGCCTGAAGCTGCTGCAAGGTTTGGGGTATGGGTTTCACACCTCAGCCCAGTCAAGCCAAACCCCCGACCTGGCCCTGCAGGTGAGGCTGCCTTGGAATGGCTGGTTTAAAGAAAAAAAAGGAAAAAAAAAAAAGAAAAAAAATCAATTATTTTGCTTAATTCTGCTTTCAGCAAGGGAAAAAGCAGTTTAGCCCATCTCGAGCAGACAAGAAAGGGAGGAAGAGGAGGAAAAAATCCTCTTTTGCCAGCGCCCGGCTGGGTGTGTCTCGCCCCCCCGCCGTGGGGCTGTGTTCCTGGCAGGCAGGCTTGCCTGGGAGGGATCTGCCGTCAAAGCCACCCAGGAAAGGAGGCCTGATACGCTCATTAATATTCTGAACTAGTGACCCTTCTTTTTCTTTCCGCCCCTCGCCTTTCTCTGGGCGCTCCAGCCTCTCCCCGCCGCGGATGGCTGCAGCCCCCTCCAGCTGAGTCAGTCCTGCCTCCCCGCAGCATTGCAGCACCTCCGCAGCTCCTGCGCTCCCTCCCGCTCCTGCAGCACCGCTCCGCTCCCGCCGCAGCATGGCCAGCACCGTCTCAGGTAGGACAGGCGCCTTCTCGGGGGCTTGACATCAATGCGCTTCTAAAATCATCAAGTTTTATATGGTTTTTTTATCATTATTCTGAAGGTTTGGATTGGGTTTGGTTTTTTTTTTTTTTTTTTTTCCCCGTGGGTTTCGGGGGAGTTCTGTGCTGAGGAGGCAGCTGGTATGGCAGCATTGTTCCCCTTCCTCCCCCATACACACACCCCTCTGATGCAAGATAGCAGGTGGGCTTTTTATTTTAATATGAATACACGTGTGATAAACTTGCCAATTTAAAGTATTGCTGCCATTTCATTGTGCCATTAGAAGATGCTGCTACGTGCCAATTAAATATTATTTTTGTACCGTCGTAGAGTTGTTTTTTTTTTCCCTGAGAAAAAATTGCACAAGGTGCAGCTGGATGTAAGGAAATCAGAAATTACATTTTATTTTGTGAAGATCATGTATTGCCTAATTGGGTAATGCCCTAAAAAAATCCCTCAAAGCCAATTAGAATAACCTGGATGGGGTTTTGTGTATTCTCCGGGCTTCCCAGCCCCAGATTTCTTGCACAGCTCACATTTCTTGGTTCGAAGATGCTACAGGGGAGCGGTCCTCTGATGGCGTTGGGTGAAATGAGATGCTGCAAGGGAAGCCCTTCCTCCCTCCTGCAGCAGTGCCGGGAATCACAGCGCGGCTGCCCGGGAGCCTGCTCGGGTCTGCCTTCAGGATGGCACGCCGAGGATGCTGTGCTGCTTCGGTCCAGCTTCCTAAAGACCCATCTTGCCCCCTTTGATTGGGAAGGAGGGATTCAAGTGGCTGAAACTGGGAGTGTGGGTGAAGGAGAAGCTTGAAATGGTACCAGGAACAGTGGGTGGGTTTAGAGGGTCTTTTTCTTTTAGAAAACCGATTTTTTCTTTTTCTTGGAATGACTCTGAATTCTGCAGCCTACAAAGAGGGGCTTGGGAGGGGGAAGCGAGATCCTGGAGGGCTGAGCAGGAGTGACAGACAAAAAGGAAGAGCAGGCAGTGCTTTGTTCCCCCCAGGCAGGGAACCAGCCCGCAGGAAACCAGGCAACACTTCTTGCTTCTTTCCCTGCCCTTTGCCGAGATTTCCTGCCATGCATTTTCTATTCCTTGCTCCTTTTAGAAGACCAGTAGATGCAGGGGAAAGAAGGATGAGGGATGGAGGGGTGTGTATGTGGGGGGAGTATAAGGGCACAGCTGATCCTGCGTGGGCTTTGCGCGCAATTAAAGACATAAAACAGCATTGTAAAAATGTGTTTATGATAGAAAACCTCCATCTATTGTATATATTCCTGCGAGTATCCCTGTCTCAATGAACGTCTGCAGCAGTGCACTCCTGGGAGGTGCCACCCATCTCCTGCCTTCCCTGCCGAGCAGGATTGGACCTGGTTTGCACAGTGGGGGTGGGAGGCAAGGCTCAGACTTACCAGCCCTCTAAACCAAGGTTGCATCGAACTTGAGATGGACGAGGTGGTGGATGAAACACGTAGGCAGAACATGCGATTTCCAGTTGGTGCATTCTCACCCTCCCAGCCCACTGCATGCCCACAGCACATCTCGTTCTCCCAGAGATGCAGTTTTACTGTCAAAGAGACTTAAGATCATGAAGGAGCGTGAAATGGGGCTTCCTTGTGACTCAGATCAAGCAGAGAAGCATTTTCAAGGAGTAGGAAGTCATGGAAAGCAGTGCTGTGGCAGGAGGGAAGAGAATAGGGCGCTGTGTGCCAAGGGAGGGTCGGGGCTGAGCCTCGCCCAGCTGCCTTTGCAGGAGCAGCTCCCCATCTCCCCATCGCCCACAGCTCGTACAGCAGCAGTGGAGAGCAGCCTGGAAAAGCAGGAGAAAAAGAATTATGAATCCTTCAATTAACGAATGAGTCTTGTTTGCTTTCTTCATTATTTCCTTCTTTATTCCCAGCAAAAGCCGATCCGTGCCGAGGGCAGGGCAGCTGCAGTCTGCGGCTGCTGCCCGGGGGCTCATCCCCCTCGGGAAGATCCGCTCGGTTTGTTTAAACAACCAGCCAAATCCTCGGCATCAAGAGAAGCAGGGCTCGCTCCTGCCCTCTCTCTTTGCCCGCTGTGCCCTCGGGCGGCTTTTCCCGGCCCCGGGGGCTGTTTTGGGAGCGGGATGGGCGGCACATGCTCAGTGCCGGCGGGGCTGCGGTGCCGGCCCCGCTGCTCCGGGCAGCCCCGGCGGGGCAGAGCCCCCGCACCTCCTCCCGCAGCATCCGCACGAAGCTTTGTGCTTTTGTGCGCCTCGGACCGGCCTGCCCGGCCTCCCCAGGGCTGCGGAACTCCCCGCACAGTTGGGGTGAATAAAGAGACGTGAGATTCTGAAATGATGCGGAAGGTGACATCCCCACCGGCCGTCTCCGA